CACATCTGCCAGTGATGCCTGGAGCTATGGGATTGTGATGTGGGAGGTCATGTCTTTTGGGGAACGGCCGTACTGGGATATGAGCAATCAGGATGTAAGTGTCCCTTGGTCCGACCATATTTACTGGGATATGGGTGGGGTTCCCAGAGAGTTCATCACTGCTGGGTCCTTGAGATGATGAGGGTGACACAAAGAAGAGTTGATCTTTGTACCCAAGAGTTTGATGCAGCATGTCTGGTCACAGAAGGACACAAGGATGGAGGGCACAGTTGGGAGGTTACACATCTGGATCATAGCCCAACAGCTGCCGGGCCGTTAAGCCTCTGCCAGCCTCGCCCCAGCCAGAAACAAGGACCCCCAGATTTGCCATCCTGGGAGGCTGTTGCACCCAGCCAGCATCTGCTAAGCCACCATTTCCTTGAGATCCTTTGGCATCCTCATTCTTCCCAGATATCCTCACCCAGTGCTTCTGTCATTCCAGGTGATCAATGCCATTGAACAGGACTACCGGCTACCCCCTCCCCCAGACTGCCCCACTTCCCTGCACCAGCTCATGCTGGACTGTTGGCAAAAGGATCGGAATGCACGGCCCCGCTTCCCCCAGGTGGTCAGTGCCCTCGACAAGATGATCCGGAACCCTGCTAGCCTCAAAATCGTGGCCAGGGAGAATGGCGGGTGAGGACTCCTGAGAATGGGCCCTCCTTGCTGCACTCTGCCACCTCAACCCCTCCAGAGCCTCCCAAAAAATATCCGTCATTTTGGGGGTATGTGGGATTGTGCCTGTCTGCCTCTCCAAGGCTGGACTCAACGTCGCCATCCTGACGCAGCCCTGGTATTCAGCACATCCTCCCCATCCTTGTCTCCCAGGGCCTCACACCCACTCCTGGATCAGCGGCAGCCTCACTACTCAGCTTTTGGCTCTGTGGGTGAGTGGCTTCGAGCCATCAAGATGGGGAGATACGAAGAAAGTTTTGCAGCCGCTGGGTTTGGCTCCTTCGAGCTGGTCAGCCAGATCTCTGCTGAGTAAGTCATGGCAGGAACTGGAGGTGGGGGTTAGAGCCAAGCAGTCAGAGTTGCACCTGGGGACCAGAATCCAGCCCACTGGTCTGCAGGGACCTTTGGGGTCAACTCCTGGTGCCAACTTTTCTAGGGCCCCCTCAAAGCAATAACAGCTGCTGGTGCTGAGAGCCCAGTGAATCTTCCAGGCCAACTGTGCCTGCCTCACGCCCTTGCACCGTTTCAGCCCGGGACCATCTTGCTCCCTGCTTCGCAATCTGTATCTATCTTTGTGCATCTATCTACATTCCAGACTCTGCGCTCACATTAACAACGTGTCAACTTTGGATGTTTTCCCACCCATAAAAGGAGAAGATTCGGCTAGGTTTTGGAGAACCTTTCCAGCTTTAATGTTAAATGGTTTTATGATTCCAACGCTTCCCAAATACTGTTTTTTCCCTAGCTGGCCTCTCTCTAATACGTCTCCTTTCTGCCTTCCCATTTCTCTCCCAAGGACTTTTATGGCCCCAAATTTGAATAACAACAGAAAGAGAAGGAACAGAAATCTGGAACCAGAGGGTCCTGGAGACCCTCTCCCTGGCAGGGCAGGCGCGGGCCAGTCTGCCCCACTGAGCTTGGGCAGTCTCCTCCCAAACGTGTTCCAGCCTCTCCTTGCCCTAGGTTCTTGCTCTCCGTTTCCCATCTCCTCGTTTTTCCCTTATCTCAGTCTCCAGGCCTCAGAATGGAGCAGGGAGGCAGTTTGTTTTACCCCCTCCCTCCCCTTCCTCTCCGCCCAGCCCTTCCTCTCTCTCTCTGGCCTTTTCTTTCTGACCTCTCCTTTCCCCGCTAAAGCAATCTGTGCATCCCCTTCCCCCAACCTCATTTGGTGGGCCTTTCTCTCCTCGTTTCTCCCCTTCTCTGATTCTCTGCCTTAATCCTGGTGGAGCATCCATCCATCCATCCATGTCCCAGCCCCCACCCCGCGTTTCGACACCCTCCCATCCCTTACTGCGGCTGCGCAGAAGGGCTGTGGCCTGGCTCCGAAATACTCCGGAAACTGCCGGGCAACTGTTGACGTGTGTCCCCTCCCCCACTGGTCTATCTGATTGGCTGACAATCCCGAGGCGGTGACCAGGTTTCTGGAGCTAAGCTAGGAGAGCCGCCCCAGCAGCCTTCTGGCCTCACCTAGCTCTGTATTCTTTCTCAGGGACCTGCTCCGAATAGGAGTCACTCTGGCGGGACACCAGAAGAAAATCCTGGCCAGTGTCCAGCACATGAAGTCCCAGGCCAAACCTGGAGCCCCAGGCGGGTCAGGAGGACCAGCCCCTCAGTACTGACCTGCGCCTCCTCGCCTGGCCCCACAGCTGTAGAGCAGCAGGAATTCCCATGCTGGGGACACGGCTCCCCTTCTTTTCGGGGCAGAGTTGGGTGGGGACCCAAGAGGCCCCCATCCCTACGCCCCTTTGGATTGCACTTTGAACCTCTGGGGGCAGGGAGCTGGCAATGTGGAGAGACAGGATTTGGGGGTTCTGCCATATGGGAGTGGATATGAAAGGAACATGCCTCTCAGGTGGGGAGCCCCACCAAGGGTGTGGAAACCCTTCCCTCAGGATTTTCCAGGGTGGATGGGCGCGATCCCTACAGCCTCCCTTTGATCCCCAGGTAGGGCCCCCGGGGTGCCCCTCCTCACCTTGAAGGGCCGCAGACCAAAGAGAAGAGGGTGACAAGCCTGTAAGCTCGGGAGTGGAGCACCGTGGTGGGAGGCGGGAAGGGGTGTCATGGCCCAGTGTCGAAATCATTGGACTGGATGGCCCAACCTTGCTGCTGTCTCCACCGAACTCACTTTGCCCTTGTAAATGCCCTTCCCCCATCTGCTGCCTTCATATTGAAGGTTTTTGAGTTTTAAGTTTTGGTTTTGGTCTTTCTCTTGTTTATGTTTCTGGTTTGTTTTTGTTTTCTGTTTTTGTTTCTTTACTGTCCTTGTCATAACTTTTTGTGTTGGAGGGGACCTGTTTCATTATCACCTCCTCTTCCCAAGTCGGAACAGGGACCCGTCATTGTGTCCATTTTCAGAACAGTGCCTTGGTCGTGCCGCTGTTTTGCCCTCCCCCACCAAGTACCCCCAAGTTGTGTCCATGGGGTGTGGGGGGCCAAGGTAGTGGTGGAAACCAGAGACAGACACCGGTGCTTGGAGGGGTTCTTAAATTATATTTAAAACACTTTTTTTGTATAAATAAAAAAAAATGGGAAGTGTTGTAGCTCTGGGGGTGATTGGGAGTGGGGGATGGAATAGATTTCTGAGGAAAGTGGAGTCTTGTGTGGAGGGGTAGGAGGTCTGGAGAAAGGGCTGTGGTGGGCCTGGGTGCTTAGTTCCCAACCCCGGGGTGTGTTTCAGGTGGTGGGGTGGGGGCAGTGGGAGATGAGTCATTGGCAGCTGCTTCTAACGGCTCCAGACGGTTCTGCCAAGCGCCTGGGGCACCTCCGGGGTGGGGCTGCCCCCTCCCCTCCTGCCCTGGTTCCCTAGCCCTGGGAAGGTGCTTGTTTGAAGCAAAGAGGAAGCCTTGAGCTCACAGCCCTGCTCTGCAGCCCCCTGTAGTGTAGGGGGGGCATCCACTGGGATGGGGGTCCAGTTGGAGACAGATGTGGGCCAGATGTTGACAGCTGGGGTTGGTTTAAAGGCAAGGGAGGAAAATGTCTGCCTTGGCTGTGGGGGAGGTGCAGAGAGCTGGGGTGGAGGATGCGGGCCCCCACGTGTGTACAGACACACACACAGATGCTGGGCTGGGTCAGGACAATTCCCCTTTTCCAGATGTTGCCCAGGCAAGTCTTCCCATCCTCTTGGGAAGGGGAGGGGGGAACTACCTAGTGTCTTCTCCTTCCCAAACAGGAAGATGAAGATGGGTCAATCCCCATTGTTTTTTCTCGGCCATCTGTTTCCCCCCAGTCTGCCCGCCCTCGGGGACACCTGCAAGGGCAGGCCTGGACTAGGGCAGCTTTGTCCACTGGAGCAACCATGTCATTTCTGCATCTCAGTTGACCCCTGTTGTGTTGGGGTTGGTGCAGGGTCATAAGTCACAGCTTCTGCCTTTCTCAGCTCAGGGAGCCTCGGGCAGGGACCCCATCTCCAGTCTTCCACCTGGACCAGCCTCTTCTGGAGTCCCCTCACTTGATGAGACATCACCCATATTTTATACCTCCAAGGGAGAAAGGGACTTCGTTCTGCCAAGGACGGAGGGGGTCTGGGTCCAGAAGGAGGTCTATCTGGAGGATGCCAGCCCAGACCACCCCTCCCCCTGACAACCAGACACCTAACTAGAGAAGGTGGCCTTAGCTGGCCAGGGAAGGAATAGGTCGAGGGAGCAGGGCACTGCTGAAGAACAAGTAAAGGGTCAGAGACCAAGCAGAGAGGTCTGTGCACGTGGACAGCAGGAAGCCCCATGACACCCAGGTTAAAGCATGGTCAACCCGGTTCCTGGATTCCTGAGCGGGCCTGCCACACCCGGCTCAGAGTGGGAGCTGCTCCCGCCCCCCGCCCCCCGCCCCCCCCCCCCCCCCCCACTAAGGGGCAGGATGGCCTGGCCATGGTCACCCCTCCCCCTGCCTGGGGCCCAGCTCCAGCCAGGATAGGTCTTGCTTCCTTAAAGGAATGTGGCTACAGGGACGGTCATTCTCAGAGTATAAGCACAGAATAAGGATAACTTTCTAGAACTCTGCCTGCTTTGGTACCCCCAAACCCAAGTCCCCTGTCCCTTGGGATCCTACATCCTGGCAACTCGCCAAATTGGGAGCTTCTTTTTCTTTGAACCCAAGCAGAATGTCCCACCCCCTCCCTCAAACAAGGACTTCTCTGGTGGGAGGCCCTTTGACCTGAGGCTTAGGTGGGGAGGGCGTCACTCCAACCAGGGGGGAACTCAGCAAGAGTTCCCAGACCCCACCCTCAGTTGTCATAATGATCCTTAGGCCCTTTTGGGAAATGAAAGTGTGCAGAAGTTGGGAGGGCCTTCTCAGAGGGGCACAGGCCGGTTCACTCTTTGGAAAAAGTCACATTTCCCATTCTTAACTTCTACCAAGCAAGTCTTCTGGTCGTTAGAAATGTCAAACTCCTCAGGACCACTTTTCACGGCCAGGTAAGGAAGCTCAGAGGCCAAGTCCTCTGAGGAGGCCTCCTTGGGGGAACACGGCAAATGCAGTCTTTTCTCCTGTATCCCGGAAACTAGAGGGCTGGCTGCCCACCCTGCTGTGGCTTTGCCGAAGGAACAGACTCCACTGCTCAGATCTCCCCTCTCTAGGTGTTTTGTGGGTTACTGAGCCCTATGCCCCCCACAGCTGTCTCCCTCCTATTTTTCCCTCCAAGACCCACCTCACAGACCCTTCCTCCACCATGATTATGTGGAAATTCACATCCCCAAAATAAATTATTTTATTTTATCTCTCCTGTTTTGAGAACAACTCAAAATTGAGTGACTTTAAAGGCAGGCTCTGGAACAAAATCTGAGGAGAAAGCAAGAAAACCTGTATTAGAGGCCTACCTGACACCCGGCGGTCAAAGTTCTGGGCGGGGCGGCGGGGGGGCGGGCGGGGATGGGGTGGGGTGTGGTTCTCACCTGCGCTGCCAGCCAGTCTCTGTTCTGGCTCTGCATTTTCTCCCTGGCAGCCGGTGGGGAGCAGAGAGGATCAGTGCCCACTCTCCATGTTCACTCACCGCCCGGCTGCCCCTCTTCATCACACCTTTCCAGAACTCACCTCCTCCTCCTCCTCTTCTTGAAAACACGTTTTCTGATCACGGCCAGCACTCTGACCACCATGAGCAGCAGCATTCCCAACAGGAGGACCACAAAGTAGGACACTTCTGGGATGGGATGTGAAGGGGTGGGGGAGGAGACACTCCCTTTGGTCTTTGGCTGCCACCCTGAAGGGCCTACATCCCCCTAAATCCCTGGCTGTGGCTGGTTCTCCAGGAGGATGTTGCCCCAGGGACTCCAAGGCCTTAGTGTTGCACCCTCCCCCACAAACCCTTTCTGTTTTTGGGCACAGAACTCCCATAAGCCTTCTAGGGGGATGTTCATCCAGTTAGTCCCTAGAGTCCAGGACATCTTCTCAGCCGGTGCTTCTCAAAGAGGAATCCTGGAATCACTTCCATGGACCGCCTGGGAGCTTGTTAAAAATACTGATTTCTGAGCCCACTCCAGACCCACCTAATCGGAATTTCTGGGGCTGAGAACCCGAACGAGTATGTTAAACAAGCCACTCCTCCCAGCCCTGCCCGGCAACCTCCAATCTTCAGTAAGATAAAGTTGGAGAACCACTGGCCCAGAGGCTCAAGGGAATTGTAGTTTTGGATGGCAAAGAACAATAAAAGGCCTTGGAGAGGCCTAGGGCGATACAAGAGGGGAAACACCAGTAGGGGTGGGGCCTATAGACCTCAGAAGAAAGCTAGGTTTCAGAGAGATTCCAGAAGGTGTGGGTAGGAGACGGGCACAGGGGCTCAGATTCTTGGAGAATCCTGTCCTGTTAATCTCTAGGGATCATATTATATATTATATTTTCTGTAATATAGATCATATGAATAATATATTACCTCTCTGTGATACGTCTGTAATACACAGCAATATCTATTAGATGTGAACACTATATGCATGGAATAGCGGCAGTTGTTTGTGGGGAAGAAACTGTGAGGATACAGGGCCTGGGATGAACTTCCTACCTGGGTTTTCCAGGGATAGCACATCCTGAAGTTCCATGCAGGGGTCTCCTCCATCATCAAATTCACGCTCACAGGTGAAGCGGGTGCCCTGCTCCTGACAGTGTCCCTCATTCTGACAGGGGTGCTGCAGACATGGGCTTTCTGCAAGCATGAAGGGGATTGTGTGCAGGGGTGATTCAGGGAGAGGGGGCTGGGAGCAGGGGTCCCCGGGGGACTAAAGCAGTAGCTTCCATTCCTGGCAGGGAGACTGTTCACCTCTGAACTCCATAATTTTTACCTATAAAATGGGGAGACTATATTCGCTACCAAGTGCTGAGTGATGCTAAGTGCCTGGCACCCAGCAGATAGCACATGCTCAGGACATTTCAGGTCCTTAACTTTTGCCCTTCCCCCAAATGGAGGGGGCTGAGTGAGGAGGAGCGGAGTTAAATGGCACAAACTTCCTGGCCTCAGTGGGGAGGAGTACCAGGCATAGGACTGGGAGGGACAGTCTTCCATCCAAAGACCCTCAAAGTAAGGCAGCAGCTTAAAGCCAAGGGGAGGCCTGGGCTCACCTGGGAAGCAGCCATGGGTGAGGGTCCCCGAGGCGCAGGGTCCCCCACTGCTGCAGCTGAGGGGCTCACACAGCGGGACCCCTGGGCTGGCACAGGTGTAGTGCTGAGAGCAATCCTCAGTCACAAAGCTGTCACTCCTCTGGAGAGGAAAGAAGGGCCCGGAGAAGAAGGACCAGTTCTCCTCCCTCCGCTCCTCTACCCTCCAGAGCCTCCTACATCCCCCTGACCTGGTAGTAGATGCCAATGTCAGTGCAGCCACAGAGGGCCAGGGGGAGGCTCTGGACACCACCGTAGATGTAGCCGGGGAGGCTGGCACAGCCTTCCACACAGGGGTCCTCACAGTCCCTGGGGGCCCCCAGGTCGGAAGAGGAGTTGCGGCACAGTGTCGCACAGCTCTGATGGATGGTGTTGGCTGGGCACGCCAAGGCTGAAGGGCAGAGTCACAGTCAGAGAGGGGCCAAGCTGGGGCCGGCCCAACGGGTGTGGGGAGCGTGGGGCTGGACGGCGAGCACAGTCACCCCCAGGACACAGCTCAGTAGAGGCAAGGGAGCCAGACAGGGGGCCGGTTCTGAGTGCCTCTTTGTCTGTGACATAAAGCACGTAAAAGAAAAGAATTGGAGGAGCAAAAATGGACATCGGTGGGAAGAAGTGAAACAGGTGGCACACTTCCCTGGCAGAGCCAGGGAGCGCTTAGGTCGGGAGGACGCCCCCAGGGTGAGAGTTGAGGGATGGGGAACCCAGAGGGGAAGACCCAGGTGTGGGCAATGGTGGCGGCACAGAGCTGAGCAGAGGCTGAAATGACTGAGGGGGTCGGGGGCTGGCTGCGGGGGGGGAGGCCAGCGCCTCACCGCAGTGGGTGCGGTCCCGCCAGCTGGCCAGCGCAGCGCCTGCCTCCTGGCAGATGATGGCGTTCCCACTGAGAACCTGGCAGTGCAGCTCCTCCCGCTCCTTGGGGTCCCGGGTGACACGCAGATCAAACACACAGTTCCTGGGGGAGCAGCGGCGTCAGTTGAGGGGGCGGTGGAGACAAGAACACTCAGCCCTGTAGCACAAGGCCTTGGAAGCCCCAGCAGAAAGACATCAGGCAGTACATGTGTGTGGGTGAGTGAGAAGGGTCACGAGGAATGGAAGCCACAAAGATGGAAGCGAGCCAAACTCATGGGAGTGAAAGTCAGAGATGGGCAGCAGGACCGGGAGAAAAGGAATTTCCAGTGTCTTGGGCCCCTGACTCACTCCTGGAAGGGCTCTGGGGCCACGGTCTGGCGACAAGCAGCAAAGGGGCCCTGGGGGTCCACCAGCACCCTGCACGCCTGGGTGCTGTTGATGAGCTCCAGCTGCTCCGGGCTGCGTTCTGACACAGGGAAGCCCGACTTCTCTTCCTCCTCCTCCTCCTCCTCTTGGATGGCCCTGGGGTAGAGAGAGCCAAGGGCCAGGGGAGGCACAAGACGGCTCGTGAGTTAGGAAGAACTGAGAGTGTAGGGGGAGGGCAGAGGCACAGGCTGGGATCCAGATGGCAGGTGCCCCTCAGAGGACTGGGAGAATTCGGCAAGTGTGTCTGGGCACTTGCCCGCGGGTTTCCTCCCCTGCTGAGGATATGGGAGTGAGCGGTGAGTGGACAGATATTGGGCTGTTGCTCACGCCCCTGGGGCCTGGGCCTCCTTGCTCCGAGCCCCAGCCTTCTCACCTTGAGAAGCGGGGAAGGCCTCCCTTGATCTTCACCTCCCAACTGTTGCCAAAATTGTTGAGGTTCTCAGTGAGGGAGCCATTGGGCAGCATAAACTCATTTTTCTGGTTCTTGTCAAAGTTCCCGCACAGGCCACGCACAAGCCCCTGGTATGTGCTGGGCAGGGAGATCACTGCAGGAGGAAGGGGGCATCCAAAGCAAGACTCCCCACCTCTTTGCTTTCCCACACATCCTGGGGCTTCCACTGGAGCTCAGCGCCCCACTCCCAGGCAGGGGTCCTCTCACCATGCTCGTTCTGTCTAAGATGAGGTCTTCCCCCACCATCCCAGAAACGTCCCCCCTGCTCTCAGGTCCCTAGCCTCAGGTACCTGCATTGTTCCTTCCATCAAAGCTGACAACCAGCTCAAAGTCAGTGATCAGATACAGTCTATGGCCTCGAATGATAACCTGCAGATGCTCGTTGGGGTTGTAGGGGATGGCCGCCTTCTGGCCGTTGACCTGGAGAAGGAAGACAGGAGCTGTGGGGAGTCCGGAGTCAACCTGCCCCTCTGCTGTTAAGGCTCTGCCCCTCTTGGCTCATCTCAATGCCTCTCTCTGTCGCCATTCCATGGAATGAGATACCCCAGTAGGCTTCACTGTCTGCGTGGCAAAGGCCTCCCTGAGATCTGCTGCCTTTACAGCGCTAGCCCTTTCCTTGCAAAAACATTGGCAGAGTCGATGCCCCTGGTACTTCCTCAGCTGGCTCCACTTTGACACGGCAGGCTCTCCTCTCGTCCCCTGTCCCTCTCTAGCCTTTTGCTTAATCCCATGATGTGAGTGAGACACTAATTCTGACTTCTATAACCAGGTAGCCACTGTCAGGAACTTCCCAGGGAACATGGAGTCCTGGCTTCCCCTGCTCCGTGTGGCCTCCCATGGCCCAGGCTGCCTTCCCAGAACCTCCCGGCCTGGCCCAGCTCTTACCACAAGCTGCAGTTCAGCCTGGAGCTGGACAGTATAGCCATAGACCATCACGATGATTTCATGCAGGAAGATCAGGCCGAGGGGCACATACATTTTGTTGCGCCCCCCCACGACCAGGCGTGCCACTCCACTGGGGAGCACGTCCACGGTCTCGATCAGAGTGTAGGTCATGCGGCCCTGGAAGCGGTAGCTGAGGCCGTCAAATGTTCGGTAATGGGGGTCTCCAAAAACTGAGCATTGTTTCAACTCTGCCAAGAAGGGCCAGCACTGAGAAGGCACCCTGCCCAGATATAACAGCCCCCAGAATCCCTCACCCGCCCTGATGTCTCCTGTCACTCTCCCTCTTAGCCCTGAGCTCCCCTGATCCTTAGCTGCAACTTTCCTCTCTCCCAGCCCCAGTAAAAACCAGAGAGGATCTCCTTGTCCACTTTCCTCTTTTTGCCCTTAATGGAGTGAATCCCAGAAAGGGTCATGACTTGTAGGCAGGTACAAAGCTGGGGAGACTCAAGAGGAGAACACAGGCCCACCTCATGTCTGAGCTTAGCCCCTTCCCTCCAGAGCGTCCCAGCCTCAGCCCCTCTGGCCCTGCCTCCTCCTCCACCGCCACCTCCTCACATGCCTCCCTTACTGCGGGGGACGCATCTGCCGTTGCCATTGGAGTTGGGCTGGCAGTGGGAGCCCGCGGGACAGATGAAGGGCCTGCATTGAATGGCTCCTGCTCTGCAGGTACAGTTCTGGGTGCAGTCACCGGAGAGCCAGGTTTTCCCTGCCTGTGGAAGCCACAGAGAGACCAGGAAATGAGGAGGGAAGGGCCAGTTCTTCTTCTCAGCCCCTCAGCCCAAGCCTGCGGTCTGAATGGCTTCATTGGCCCATAAGGCCGGAGGCAGTTAGGGAGCCATCTGCACGCGTCTGTCTCCGTACTACCCCCTGGAGGCATTGTGTGTGGGGTCTTACGTACATTGTTCAGGAGGTAACTATGAAACCCATCTTCCAGATGAGAAAACTGAGGTAACACAGTCCCCTGAGGGTACCATCAGGATTCCAATCAAGGCCATGTTCCTCTACTACACTGTGCAGTATTCCAGGTTTTGGATTTCTCAGATCTAAACCCAAAGCACACACTCGCAGCAGCCCCGGCCTGGCTGGAGACCACGCTGCTCTGCCACGAGCCTTCATGCCCTAGGCAGGGCCAGCCATAGAGACACACCCCAGCCTGGTAAAGGCTGAGGAAACAAGAAAGCGCCATCCTCAAAGTGTGCTGTTCTCATCCCAACTTCAGTCCCACTCACGGGGAGGGAGCGGCCCCGGGCATCCCTGCAGCCGCACTGAGCCCTGGGCACACACTGCTGCTCGCTGAGCACGAAGCCAGGCTGACAAATGCAGCCCTCCTTGCAGGTGGAGGGGACTTCGGTGCCCATGCACTGGCCGTCCAGGTCCCAGCAGGAGGGTGAGCAGGAGGAAACGCAGGTTGTATAGGTGCTGTGGGTGGGGCATTCCAGAGCTGGAGGGGAGGAGAGGGGGAAAGAGAAAGCGTGGGCTAGGCCTCTGTGCCAGGGCCCGGGGGAAGAAAGGAAGAATGGCTCTCCCGCTTCAGCATGAGAGACAAAGCTCAGCCAGCAGCCCCCGCGCGACCTTGACGTGCATGGTCAGTAGGTGTGTGACGGGCATGTGTATGTGAGAACGGGGAGCTACTCACTCTGTTGGAGGAGTTAAATAAAGCCCTTTAGTCAAAAGTAGTTGTGAACAAATGAGAGTGTTTAGGGATAGGAGTCTGCAGTATACAAATGTCCGTCTTCTCTGAGTTAATTTATACATTTAAATGATCCTAATAAAATATACCAAAAAGATTTTGTAATATTTTCTAGTGAGACAAGATGATATTAAAGTGGAGATGAAAATATAAACAAACCAGAAGAGCCAAGAAAACTTTCATTTAAAAAAAGGAAAAAGCAATGTGTAGTGACTGTTCCTATCAGAAATTATGACACATTTTAAACTTCCAATGATCACAACATTGTTATAAGTAAGTAAAGACAGATGGAACAATGAAAGAGGAGAGAAGGCCCATATAAACATCCAAATACATATGGGAATTTAGTATAAGATAAATTATAGCATTTCCGTCAGTGGGAAAAGAGAGACTGGTCATTTAATAATGCTAGAAAAAAATAAAGCCAAAGTTGATTTATATCTTTACTGCACACCAGGATAAATTCCTGTGGGTCACACATTTTAAAAAATATAATAAAACCATAAAAATACTATAGCAAAGCATGGGCAAATTCTTTTTTTAACTTCAGAGGGGGAAGGCATTTGTAACTATGGCTCAAAATGCAGAAGCCATAAAACAGACTAACAGATTCGACCACACAAACTATACATAAGTTCTTTCTGCATGGCAAGAAAAGAGTCAAAGATAAAAAACTGGAAAATGTTTTGTGACTCACAGCACTAGTAAAGAGCTGCTCTGTATAATACGTAAAAGAACTTCTATAAAATAGTTCAAAAAGACCAACAACCAGTGGAAAACTGGTGAATGGGTATAAAGAGATAGTTCACAGAAAGGGAAACTCATATGGTTCCTGAACCTACGAAAGAATGCACAAACTCACTCAGAATAGGAAAAATGCAACTTAAGACCTTTTATTTTTCATTTACGATTGGCAGAAATTCAAGTGTAATAATGCTCTGTGTTGATGAGGCTGTGGGGGAATGGACACTCTTGTAAATTCCTCAGCCCCTATGGAAAGCCAATTGGCAACATCCCTCAAAAGTACAAAGGCACTGTGTTCTTGACCCAACAATTCTACTTCTAGGAATTTATCCAGCAACTATGTATGACACACACATAGAAAATCATAACTGCATAGGGTTATCCACTGCAGCATGTCCTGGGCTGACCACCGCAGTCCTTGCAGGTGCAAAGGTCTTTGGTGTTCTTACACTGGCTTTCCAGGTCCCAGGAGAAAGGTAAGCAGAAGGGACACGGGTCCTGTAGGTGCTATGGGTGGGGCATTCCCGAGCTCGGGGGTAAGAAGGGAGTAGAGACTTAGTGATTCTGGGCTATGTGCAGGGCCCGAGGGAAGGAAGGAAGGAGAATGGCTCTCCCAGTTCAGCACGGGAGACAAGAGATTGGAAACAACTAGAAAGTCCATTGATGGGAGACGAGTTAAACAAATTCTGAAAAATGAATTATGATATCATCATGGAATATTACTCAGCAGCAAACAAAATGAGACACGGCTACCTGGCATGGAAGAGAATATCTGATGTGACGGGATCTGCAGGCTAGATTGTCAAGTGAAAAAAAAAAAAAGTGCAAAATACTGTGTCTCAAACACTGTTTGTAAAAAAAGAAGGAAAGTAAATTTGTTTTTGTTTGTATGTGCATAAATAAAAAACCCTTGGAAAAATACTGAGATGCTGATAAGAGCAGGCTGGAAACTGGACCCATGGGGTCAGGATGGGAAGTAAGTTTTCACTGGGACTCTTTCAAGGCTTTTCAAGTTTTTGAACCCTATGAATGCATCACATACTAAAAACATTTTAATCACTGTTGTAAAACTTAAAAGGTTCAGGAATTAGATAGTGGTGATGGTTGCAGAATTTTGTGAAGATCCTAAAAGGCAGTGAATTGTACAGTTTAAAGGGGGTGAATATTATGGTATGTAACAAATCTTTTTTAATACATTTCATTTTAAAGGAAAGAGCTACAGAAGGTTACCTAGAAGTCTGCCAGGAGGAGAACTTTCCAGGTGCAAAGAGCAGTGTGTATAGTGGCAGGGAGGGGTGTGGAAGAGCAGGGTCTGCGTGGGGAACGGGGTCATTTGGCGCAGGTGATGGCAGGTGCACAGGAAGCAGGTGAGCAAGGAGAGGCTGGGACAGCGTGCAGGCTACTGTACATCTCGGGCAGGAGCTTGGACTAAGTCTTGCAGGCAATAGCCATGCTGGGAGTAACAGGATCACATATCCTTTGGAAAAATAGTGTTAGCAAAGTAGATGAGAGGCAGCCTGTGCTGTCCTGGTGGGAGGGGCACTGGATAAGAGGTTATTGTAAACGTTGCTGTCAGAGACAGAGAGGTCAGAAGTAGGTCAGAAAAAAATGGAAACAAAAACAAGGCAGTTTTCAGAGATCCACAGACAGAAACAGGGTTCAGGAAATTTGGGAGTAGCAGGAGACACTCACGGCAGAAACTGCTGTTTCTCCAGATCGGGGGCTTGAGTCCCTGGGCCTGGCAGGCAGCCCCAAAGGCTTGCAGAGACACGCAGAGGGCGTTGTTTAGGCCCCTCGACTCACAGAGGTTGTGCGCACAGCGGAGCAGAAAGGGCTTAAGGGCCACGTGGGCGGCACACTCAGTCCAAGCCGGGGACTGAAGGACCCCTTGGCATTGCTCCCGAGCTCTCTCTAGGTAATCGGGCCTGCAGTTTGCAGTTAGCTCCTCCTGACTTTCTCTTTTAGTCTTCCTCTGGTCATTCTTTTGTTCATCTTGTCGGCAACTGGTAAGGGAAAGGGGTCATCACAGAGAGAGCCACTGCCCCACCTATGAAGATGATACGGCACTCCCAAATGACCCCGAAGACGCCGCTTGTCTTCACTGGGAAGCTGATGGGAGCTCTGGCCACCTTCCATGCGGCCTCAGTTCCCTCCCATGTTTTTAAACCAAAAAAGGAAGACTCTTATGTTTCCCCAAATAGGTTCCCAAGAACCCAGAAGCCATTCCCGGTCAAGTAACACACAACAAGGAAGTGCTCTGCTCTCCCTAACCCAGGTGTGCCACATGATCTAGAATCCGAGCTTGTGTTCCCATGAAAAGGCAGAAAGGTATGGGGGCAATTACGTTGAGTTGGCCTCCTTATCTTGCCAACTATTCACAAATTCAGTGTCATCCTGAGCTAGTTCGTCACTGGGCATCATGAGTTCATCCTCTTCCTCACCATTGAAGTTCCCGCACACGCCACAGACCTGGGTGGGCAGAGGGGAGTCTCAGGACTCAGGATGGGGGGCAGAAGAGCATTTCTCGTTGCCTCTGAGGAGAGTCCCTTTTCCACTCTAAGGCGAAAGGAGCGAGCACTCAGCATCCCTCTGCTCTTCTGGGGCGTGACCTCTTGGGTCTGGGGCCCTGCACCTTGCAGGGGGGCTGACTCCCTCCGGAGAAGAGCAAGATGTTTTCCTCACCTTTCCATAATAGGCTGCAGGGAGTTCAATCTCTAAAAACCCACTGCCATCAAACTTGACTTGCAGCCCAATGTACACGCTGAGCACGGTGTAGATGCCACTCGCAGAGATGCTGACACCCCGGACTTTGTTGTTCGAGGGAAGGGTGAACTGTTTGCCATTGATCTAAAGAGGGGGGTAGGGCAGGTGAGTGGGAAGAAGGACCAGAGCCTTCTCCCCAGAGTTCGCTTCCTTTGTTCCTGCCTCTGCGCCCAGCTCACCAACACACGGTGGCCCTTTTGCAGGATGATCAGGGAATCAAAGATGTTAATGTTGACCTGGCGGAGGTACAAAGCAGAGGGTTGGCTTTCCCTCCTCCCATTCTCTCCACTGATCTTGAAGAAAGGCAGGTCCATGGTGAAGTGGCACGTTTTCACCAGGACGAAAGTGCAGGTGCTCCTGATGGCGTGGTAACTGCCATCAAAGCTCACATAATGGGAGTTGTCTGAGATCCGGCACACTCCCATACCTGCAGGAGAGAGACACGGCTGAGGAATGCTCCTCCTCTGTCAAGGACAGGCACCCTCCCCACCCTCAGGGAAAGGATGCAAAGGCGAGGGGGCCACCAACGGGAAGGAAGACAAAGAAAACAATCAAGACCCAAGGCCCTGGCTGGTGTGAGGCTTGTGGGCGGAACAGGTATCATCCTGCCAGGGAGAGGCTTCTAATGGGCCCATCCGCTGTGGGAGAACCATGCGTGACTCCAAGGAGCCCTTCCCGACAGACAGTGCAGTGGTCCTTGTTCCCCACCAGAAGCTCTTTGGTACAGCAGGGCCAAGACTGGGGTGCTACAGAGGGCAGTGAGGAGGGCATGAGGGAACTTGGGGAGAGCTCGTCTGGGTGGCTGTGAGGCCCCCCTGCATGCTCAGTGGCCTCATACCTGCACCCCGGCAGCGCATTAGCCCATCCAGGGGCCAGCACCTTTGGCTAGGCTTGCAAGAGGTTTGGAGGCAGGAGATGTTGTTGTAGGTGGAGCAGGAGCAGAGCCTAGAGCAGGTGTTGTCCGTGTACCAGCTCTGCCCAACCTGTGGGGCGTGGGTACGCAATAGAAACTTGGAAGCTATAGATAGACTGGGCCCCCACCACCCCAAGCTCTCCATGAAGCTCGCTTTGCTCAGTAATTACCCCCATCGCTACCCTCTCTCAGCTTGCTCTTCAGCTCACAGCACTGGCCTGCCCTACCCCTTCCACCCCCGAAACTTATAGAATTTGGGAAGGTAGGGCACCCCTTGTGCTCTGGCCTCTCACCGGGTAGTAGGAGCCCCCTGGGTCAGTGCAGCCACACTGGCTGAGGGGCACACAGGAGGTTCCACTGAGGATGTGGCCTTTCTGGCACTCACAGCCCTCAACACAGGGCAGCGCTGCCGGGCAATCCCATGGGGTGCTCAGGCTGAGGCAGGTGGCAGGGCAGGGGTTGGCGCAGGGGCTGTAGCTGCTGCCAGATGGGCACTTCAGGGCTAAGAAGAAACTAGTATTAGGAAGGGCTGAGTGCTTTTCAGCTCCCTGACCTTGGGGCATCAAGAATTCCTGGGAATGTTTATCAGATGAATGGATACACAAAATGGGATCGATCCACATAATGGAATCTGATTCGGCTTGACAACGAAGGAAACTTTGGCACATGCTACAACACGGATGAACCTCGCTTAGCATGGATGCACTATGCTAAGTGAAGCAAGCCAGTCACAAAAAGATAAATACTGTGTGATTATGCTTACATGAGATCCCTAGAGTGGTCAAATTTGTAGAGACAGAGAAGAGAATGGTGGGCGCCCAGGGTCGGGGTGGGAGGAATGGGAATTTAGCGTTTAACGGGGACAGAGTTGCAGCCTGGGGAAACGAAAAGGCCCTGGGGGTGAACGGTGGTGACGGTTGCACAATAATGTGAGTGTATTGAATGCTGTAGAACTGGACACTGAAAGGTCTTTAAAATGGGAAGTTTTACATTATGTATATTTTACCACAATTAAAAAGAGAGAGAGAGAGAGAGAGAGAGAGAGAGAGAGTTCCTGGGACAGAGGGAGAAAGGAAATAAGTAAGAGGGGAAGGTAACCAATCGCAGGCAGAGCTTTTGGTGAGGTGAGAATCAGACACAGGAGGGCAAGGAGCCGAGGAGAGGATGGGGGTTGGGCTTGGAGACTGAAAAGTGGAGAACAGAGGTCCCCTGTCAGGGCTGAGGACCAGGTTGTAAAGGGGAGAACCTAGGAACAGAACTTAGGGAAAGGAGGAGAGGACAAGATTGGGGGACTCCTCCATAGGCAGCAGCGCCGGTCAGGTCACTCACGGCAGAAGGTGCGGTTCCGCCAGGCAAGGGTCCGGCCGGCCTGGGCACACAGGGATGCATAGGACTGCAGGGAGCGGCACAGGGTCAGGGCGTCACCCTTGGTCCCACACTGGCCATGCACACAACTGGCAAAGCTGGAGCGTGGGGGTACCACCTCGTGGCACTGGGAGAAAGGTCCTGAAGGATAAAACCACAGGCGTGTGAGAGAAGAGCAGATGCCTGGGAAAGGAGCAGAACCAGGCAGCTGTTCAGGGTGAACTCAACATCCCTTTCTGTCAAAACCTGTATTTACTGAAAACCTGCTCCCTGAGATGCAGAAAAAAGGCTTATCCGTCAGGCTCCCAAGAAGGCGCACACTACCTCTGCATTCCCATCTGTCTTCCTCCAGACTTTCTGCCTATTTCATGTCTCACCCTTCCTCCCTCCCTGACCAGTCCTCCTCCTCTTTCTCCTGCGCTGGGGGAGGAAAAAGGGGCCAGCAGAGGATGAGGCTTACCCTGAGGGTCGATTAAAATATTACAGTTTTTATTCCAGGCGTCTGCCACTTCACTCGCCTGGCATCTGGGAGGCTTGCCACCTTCGAAGAAGCAGCTAAACAAAAAGAGGGGGAAAGGATAGGAATTTAGGGTTGGAGGAAGCTTCTCCAAAACTGAAACAAAAATGGAGAGAAAAACAGGGATGTGAGTAAGGACAGGAGAAAAGAACAAAGTGGTGCCCTCAAGTAGGAAGGTCAGAAGATACAGCAGGAAGGAAGAAGGTTAGATCTCAGTATAGACTGCCCAAAAGGGTTCTCCAAAGACTTAGATAAGTGAGCACAGGAGAAATCAGCAACAGGGCATCAAGTCCAGTCTCAGAGAGACTGGGGGCACACAGAGGGTGCCTGCAGGCTGCCCGCCGAGCTCTTCCCCAGGTGCACCTCCTCACGCCCAGCACCTCCTCTTCCTGGCTCACCCAGGTTCAGAGTATTCTGTTGACTTCCAGGCAGCTCCCAGTTGGATGGAGTTGCTTGCGGGCCTTTTATCTGGTTTCAGATTGTCATCCAAGCTGTTGTTATTGTAGTTTCCTGGAGGAAGGAGCAGTTAACAGAGGCCACAGAAGTACCCTGTGAGCAGACCCGCCCCAGGACCTCCACTCTCCTTTCCCCCAAGAGGCCCTGTCACTCTGCCCTCCACAGACCAAGGTTAACTTTTTCTTCACCTTGGGCTTCCCTTAACACCCACCCTCATACCCAACACCCTCCACCCATGAAGCAGTGGACCAGCATTTAGGACACCTAATTAAATAAGTGTGTGTATGAGCAAGGACCAGGAGAGGCTCCTTCCTGCTGTCCTGGCTTTGCCCACAGGTGCCCAAAGAACTCACCGCACAGCCCACAGAGCCGGCCAGCGTAAGTGGAGGGCACTGTCACTTTGACAAGGTGGTTCCCATCATAGCGAACTTGAAGCCCAAAATCAGTGTAGAGGAGAATAAAGGAGCCACTGGGCCTAATGCTTACCCGACCTCTTGCAGGCCATACAGGCAGGGTCACCCGGCGACCATTGAGCTACAAAGGCAGGGAGGACATGATAGGGAAATGCATTTGGAACAAGGAAAACAACAGGACCGAGGCTGGGGCGCAGGGGAGGGCCAGAGGGTGTGTCTCAGGAACAGGGGCTGGGTCTGCTGTGGGGAACTCCCCTGGGCTTCTAGAAGCCAGATGGACAGGTATGCAGCAAAGGGGACAGAGCAGAGGTTCTGAGCAGGCTGGTGGTGTGGGGCCCGGGGCGGGGGTGGGGGGTAGGCAGAGGCACGTACCATAACCTTGTGGCCTTTGATCAGCGAGATTCTGAGTTTGAAGACCGTCACGTGGACAGCTTTCACATAGGAGACCTCCAAGTTCCCACCTTGGAACTCATTGGTGGTGCTCACAACAAAGTGGTTACTGAGGGACCACGACCAGCAAGGCTGAGTCAGGGTGTAGCTGCAGGTGCCCATGAAGTGGTGCAGGGCTCCATCGAATGTCAGGTAGTGGGGATCCCCCGAGACAGTACAGGTGGCAGACCCTGCGAAGAAGGAGATGGCGTTCAGAGGCGCATTGACCCTGAGGTGCCATCTGGTGAGTCCACATCAGGGCGGTCAGCTTGGCTTGGAGAGGTCAAGAACAGGGACTGCCCCAACCTCACTCTCTGAGTTTTTGAAGAAAATGCTCTGGTTCTGCCTTTCAGGCCCTGGATATGCTCCAGCCCTCTGAGGAGCCTGCTTTAGGGCAAGCCCATGGCCTTACCTGAGGCTGTATGGGCAGCCGCCCTGCTCACCTTCCACCTGACTGCTCACCCTGAGCATGGCAGCCGTAGATGCCATCCTGCTGACTACAGATTTCCTGGGTCTGGCACCTCCAGCGCGCACAGCGAATTTTGTTGTTGCTTTCACAGACACAGATCTCGCTGCAGCCTGGTTTGAACCACTGCTGCTCTAACTGGGGGAAGAAAGGAAGAAAAAGATGATATTTCCAGGTCTGACTATTATTAGCTCATTACTGTTCAGATCATTGGCTTTCTCGCTGGGGAAGAATTCCTGTCTTCCCAAAGCTCCGGGATTAGTTGCAAAAGTCTGGCATTCACTCACTTATTCAATCATTCCATCCTCTGTTCCTTCACTACTTCAACAGATATTTATATATGCATGGTGCCAGTCATTAGGAATTCAATAATGAACTGGATGGATGATGTCCCTTCCCTAAGAGAACTCACGACCCAAGGTGGGGCAGTGAACAAGTGAACTGATAGATCACGTGCTCCAACACAACATGCACCCAAAGAGGACAAGTAACAAGCAGAGCACCGGGTGAGAGTCTTCTGCCATCAACACAGACCATAAGCACTTGCTACAGAAGTTTAGATGGCTGCTTTCTGACTTTGCATATCAAGAAGGCTTAAGGAGGAGGCAGCATTTCAACAGGGCCTCAAAGGAGGTGAGGAATTCCAACAGGCATGGGTGGCTGGGGTCAGAGCAGGTGAAAGGGGCTTAAAAGAAAGTAGAATTGAGAGGAGAGCAAGGCATGGACAAAAGCGTTTAGAGGGCCTGGCATGGGGGCTGAGGGGAAGACATCCAGGAGGACCTCAGGCAGTAGGTGGCTTTGACGGACACCAATGTAGTTTCCAGGACTTGGGTGAGGAACAAAGAAAGAAAGAAGAGAGAAGCGACATAGACGCCTCAAATGCTGCCTCTGAGAAAACTGTGACGGTGGGGCCAGGACGGAGCCGAAGTCCTTCAGCAGGGAAAGGGGCCTTGGTAGGAGAGAAGACGGTGTCTGGAAAGAGTTCAGGAGAGACACAGATGAAGAAAATGACTAAGGGATATAGAGGGCAGAGAAGATGGGAGGGAAGAGAAACAGGGGTCTCACGCTCTGCAAGGTAGTGTGAGCAATAACTGCTATGACTCCATCCCTGTCTGCGTGAAAAGTGCTAGAGCTGAAGAAAGAAAAAGGGAAAGGAAACCGGAGCTGGAATTTCCCTAATCCCAGCCCTACAGGCCCTGCCACACCTCCCTCTCTCCTGCTGCAGACTTCAGAGCCAGGAGGAGGGCTTTCTGGCTGCAGGGCTAAGAGGCCCAGCCCCAGCGGCTCACCATGAAGTAGTGGCCCGCGGGATCAAGGCACCCACATTGGGATCGAGGGACGCACTGGAGGCCACTGAGGACGAAGCCAGGGTTGCACTCACAGCCCTCCACGCATCGGTCCTGGCAGGACATGCCAGAGAAACTTGAATGGCATGTGTTGGGACACAGCTTGGCACACATGGTGTACTGGCTGTTGGGTGGACAATCCAGAGCTGGAGGAAGGAGAAGCACAGGGGAGAAGGGCATGAGGCAGGCTGCAGACCAGAGAAAGAAGGTCTGTAGCTAGTTCATGGCCCAGAGTTCAGAAGGCTTCAGCCAGAGGCTTCTGTCCCATGTTGGGAAGAAGAGAGGGACTGGGAGAAGCATGACTGAGGAGCTCAGCTTCTATCCTGGGCCTGCAGGAGAGGCCTGGTAGGGAGCTACCAAGAGGCAGGTCCATGGGAGCAGACTGATCCAGGAACCTCAACAGCCCTGCTATGTAGACATGCCCAAGGTAAATGGTCAAGGTGGAAAGAAAGCTGGGGGAACACCCATGTGGCCTCAGTTAAGGGCATGGCCCTGCCTAAAGCAGGCTCCCCAGAGGGCTGGGCCACACTTAGCAGCTGTGCGGCATTGACGGTGCAACCCCCAGCTCTGTGTTTAACGTGTGCTCTGTGTTTTACGTGTGTATCAGGCAGTCTGGGCAGGCGTACACTCATTGTTCTGCATGGCCTCAGGCAGCTGGGGAGAATTTCTGAATTTACAAGTGACTCTGATTTTCTCAGTGGATATTTCTGACTCTGCAGATTTCCCTGTCCACATGTGGAAGTAAAAGTGTTCAATCAGGTACCCCCAAGTCGGTGCTAACTCTGCTTTCATTTGCATCTGGAGGGAACATCCCCCCAACCCTGCTCCTCGGCTCAGCTCACGGCAGAACTGGGGCTCTCGCCAGGGCTTCACCAAGTAGCCAGCATCCTGGCAGGACTCAGTCAAGGCCGCCATATGAACACACAGCATCTGCTGCAGCCCCTGGAAGTTACACATGTCAAGCACGCAATTGTTGAAGAAGACAGAAGCCATGAGGTGAGGCAGGCATGCCCTGCGGAGAGAGGCCAGGTCAGAGGGTCTGAGGGGACAGATAGGGCAGAGCACCCTGCCTCAGAGGACTCCAGGTGCCCAGCCCTACCTCCCCCACTCCATGCCCACCCTGCCTCCTTTCATACTCAAAGGCTCCATGAAAGACCACGAGCCGTCCACAGAACTCTGGCCCCGATAAAGTGTTCTGCAAGGTTGAGTTACAAGATGGGGGATTTGCCTTGTTCTTCTGGCACCTAGAAGAGACCAACCCCAAATGCCCGAAGGGTCAAGTCTTGCCTCCATTTGGCCCCTTGGCCAGCGGTCTCCCGGCTCCCAGCAACCACTAGTGGAAAACATTTGAACACCAAGCCATGAGGGAGATGGGAAAACCTGAGCTGGGCAAGCAAGAGGGGGTTCTCCTCACAACTGCCTGAGGATCACGGATGGTGGGGGAGAGCGTGTTGGAAATGAGTGCATGCACTTGGCTGGGACAGAAGTGGGGGTGTGTAAAAGGAGAGAGAAGACAAAAGGGGTGATGCCAGTCAGAGTGCTTGGTCCTTAAAAGGGACAAAGGAGCGGGAGGGCAGTGACAGATCTGGGGACGTCCTCACCCCTTGTCCATATCCTCTGCGGTCTGCCAGCTGTTGCCCAGCTCCTCCTCATCTCGTGCTGGCCTCCCATCGGGCATCTGGTTGTCATTGCTACTGTCGCCGTCATAGTTGCCACAGAGACCACAGAGTTTGCTATAGTAGGCGCTGTAGGAGGCAGGGCGAGGAGGAGGTGTTAATGGAAACGAGGGGCCTTAGTCATCTGAGGAACCACAGCAGAGTGGGATGAGTGAAACAAGGAGAGAAGTAAGAGGTGCAGACTCAGATCAAGGGTTCCCTGCCAGGTGCCAGGGGCGCAAAACCTCGCAACCCCGAACCCCAAGCCACCTTTATAGTTTCCCTCCTTTCCTTCTGCTCTCACTCATCTTCCAGCCATGCCAAACCTTTTGCTGGACCTAAGACATTCCAGTTTTTTCTTGAATTTGCTCTTCGTTATTTCTGTAAGGTTTTAGTTCCCTTATGAACCACTCTTCCCTGAAAACTGGGATCAAGTGACCACTCTTCTGAAAGCTCCCACAGCCCATCAGTGACTCCTTCTAGCACATTCCCAAAACATTGTGAGTATATCCTGCTATTACCCACAGCCCTGAAACCATTTCCTCCTGTTTCCTCATCTAAAGGGGAGGCCTGCCAGCTGAGCTAGGTGCTTCCGACCTAGCCTGAGAATCAGCCCCTGGAATGGAAGAGGAAGAGGAGTGGACAGACCCAAGAGAGGGAGGGGCAAAGCAAGAGAAGTGGCAGCTGCCTTACCTGGGCACACTCATGAACAGCTGCTGGTCACCATCCCATCTCACTCGCAAACCAAACGTAGTCTGCAGCTCCACAAATCGCCCGCTTGGAGTCAGGAAGATGCCTTTAAAAGGTATGGCTGGGAGGATGACTTGTTGACCCCCAACCTGGAAAGTGGGGCCAAGGAAAGAGAGAGAGAGACAGATCAGAGGGTCAGAAGGACCCCCAGAAGACTCCAATATCCACCTTCCACAGCAATCCCAAAGACCTCTGCACTTGGAGTGCCCTGGAGCCTGTCCTTGAGAGGGTCTGAGGCTGCAGGAACTGGCCGGGACAAGGCTACAGCATCCCACGTGCGGCCCCAGCGGAGCTGAACAAATGATGGACTCACCAGTGTGCGCCGGCCCCTGAGCAGAGTGATGGTGGTCTCAGGCAGTGTCACGTAGACTTTGCTCAGGCAAGTCGTGCCTTCCTGTCCTCGTTCCTCATTCTTCACCACCACCTTGAAGGAGGGCTCTGGGGAGAAGAGTGGAGAACATCCACAGGTTCATTCAACAGCATTTCTGAGCACCTACCGAGGGAGGCACCCATATCTGGCACTGTGAGGATAAAGGACCACAAAGACACTTGCTCTGCAGTTCAAGAGGGAAGCCCGGACCCACATGTGAGTGGGGCGTGACTGTCTTTCAGAACCGTTTGTCATGGCATGCTACCAATCCATCTCCCCTCAGGGGGCTGGGATGTCTTCCAGGGTGGATGTTTGTGCTACTTCTCCTGTCACTTTATTGCCGCTATGCGAGGTAAGCCTCTCAATAAAAGCTAGCCAAGGAAGCAACTGATAAAGAGAAGTGTCTTAAGATGCATTTTCCCTGGTAGCCTGGTCTTGAGAAAGTCCTGCCTCTGGGGTGAACATGTCAACCCTCACTTTTCTTGCCCTTCCCATTTGCTCCCATGCCCAACTGTTCTGTCAGATCCCTCGCCCAGGCTGTGGGGGCATCTCCAGGACCCTACCTGTCGAGTTGCCACAGGGTTGGGCCAAGACGTAGGTGCATTTGCCCATGAAGCTAAAGTGCCTCCCGTCAAAGGTGAGATAATGAGGATCTCCATAGACCAAGCAGGTGGCAGTGCCTGGCGACAGAAGAAAGGGGACCACGGGAAGAGGGTTCGCCCAGACAGGTAGCCACCTCCCCCACCCAGTTGCACACCCCAGCTGCTCTTATCAGGGAGGGATTGGAACTCTGGTGTCACACCCACTCTGAAAGGCTAGCAGGGGGGGGACAGGAGAAGGGGAGGGTCTCACCATAGGGGTGACATCCATACTGGCCGTTCTTCAGCTGGCATACCGTGTGGGTCCCACACTGAGAGGTCAGGCACTCCACCCGACTGCCAGGCAAGCAGCGACAACGTTCTGTGCAACTGGGGCTGAACCACTCTGTCCCAGGCTGGGAGCAAAGAATTGGGGGTCACAACACTATATAGATCTTCGTAGATCCTGTCATCCTGTGCTATAGCCCCTTCTCTTCCACTGCACCTGCCCTAAACTTGCTCATATTTTCCCTCTTCCCACCCCCTACTAGATATTCCTGCCCACCACAGGACATTTGCACATGCTGTTTGTGCTCTCATCCTGGAATGCTTTTCCTTCTCCCTTCTTTCTAAATTATTCCTAGGCAGACCTCTCTGACTAGGGGTCATCCTCATAGCTCTGGTACCTTTTCTTCCCAGGACTTACCACAATTGCAATTTTATATTTATTTTTGGGAGTATTTGATTATAATTCCCCTGCGAGGGACCATATCTATCTTTACTCACTACCTTAGCTACAACATATACATAGCACAGTGCCCAGCATAGAGCTCTTACTCAATACATACTTGCTGAGTGAAAGAGTGAACCAAGATCCAATGTGTCCCAAAGAATCTGACAGTATTAGGAGAGCAAAGACCTTGCCCTTTTCACATAGGGCCCAGTGCCAGGAGTGTTCAAAGTACTCAGTGCAAAGTACTCAATTCATTTTTTGAATGCAAAAGTGAACGTATAATAAGTTAATACATGTCTCCCAGGGCAGGGAAGAGATGCTTGATGCTGACAGCCATAACAGATGTTTCTAGCCAGGCTGCAGCTGAAGCTAATCCTAATACTGACACAGGGACACTGAGGAGATTGGTTAAGAGAGGTGGGGGGGTGGGGGGCAGTAGTCCCCAAAGAGACAACCAAAAGAAAGAGTACCTGAAGCTAAGAAGAGGCACTGGACACTAATAAATAGCTGAATGTACTGTTAATTAATAGGCTGTACATAATAATTATCATTAATTGCTAATAATAATAATAATTAACATTTATTAAGTAATTGGTCTGTGTCAGGATCTAATTTTATCACACAGCAATCTTATGAAGTAGAACATCTTATTGTGAACATTTTATAGATATGGAAACAGATTTGAGGAGGTAAAGAACCTTGCCCAAGGTTACCCAGCAAAGTGCTGGAACCAAGATCCATGCTCAGAATGGTCTGACTCTAGGATGGCTCTTCACTGCAGTGGCCACCGGCCACATGTGCCTTCTGAGCTCTTGAAATGCAGCTGGTCCAAATTCAGATATGGTGTAAGTGTAAAATACACACTGGTTTTTTGAAGACTATTAGTATGGGAAAAAATATATATAAACAATTTTATTAATAACTACTGGTTACATGTTGAAATGAGAATATTCAGGATGGAGCAGATATTGATATTAGTTTAACCTGTTACCTTTTTTTTAATAAATAAAAATTTATTTTTTATTTTTTTAGATTTTATTTATTTTTAGAGAGAGGGAGGGAGAGAGGGAAACATCGGTGAGTGGTTGCCTCTCGTGCGCCCCCTACTGGGGACATGGCCCGCAACTCAGGCAGGTGCCCTACCTAGACTGGGAGACAAACTTTGACCTCTCGGTTTGCAGGCTGGCGCTCAATCAACTGAGCCACACCAGCCAGGGCTGCCAAAAAAAATTTTAACGCGTCCATTAGGAAACATAAGATGACATGTGGCTTGATCATTATCCCTTTTGGACAATGCTGGCCCAGAGCTTGTGCCCCTTCAGAGCCTCTGCTCTTGACAAATGTCCCTTGGGGCAAGGGGAAGGCATCAATGAGGGAAGACGAGAACAGTAACTTCTCTCTTTTGATCTATCCTATCAGGACTTACAAGTTCCTTTGGAAGATTCTGGAATCCTGCATTCTGCTCTGAACATGCCAGAAACTCTGCTCCATGTTCAGGGCTCTCTATATACCCAGGGATCCCCAACTTCCCTCAGGTTGGAGATGAGGGCCCAGCATCATCTGGTTGCTCTAGTGTCTAATGCATCAAGGCTGCCAGTATGGAGCAGAGGAGTACAGAAATACCAAGACTGTCAGGACCACGGGATGACAGAATTGTCTGCATAGCCCCGTATCATGCCCTGTCAAAACGGATGCCTAACAAATATTTATTGTATGAACAGGGATGACAATCGAAACCACACACTGAATGAACGACTCCACCATTGTGTAACCACTGCTTGAGAGCTGACCCCTTGGGACTGTTCCATGGATCCAAATCCATCTCACCTGGGGAGCAGATGGAGCCAGAACCCAGGTGTTCCTCCAGCAATCTCCCTCAGGGGACCTGGACATCCCAGGGGTCTTACCTTATAGTAACTACTGTTGTAGAAGCAGTTGCAGGAAGAGGCATTGATGCAGTGGGAGTCGCTAAACAAAAAGCCAGAATTGCAGACACAGCCAGGCTTGCAGAAGAGCCCGCATTTGGGCTTGGGGCTCTGGCAGGATGCTGGACAGGCGCAGGGTTCGTAGTGGGCATCCGGGGGGCAGCTGGCTAAGGGGAAAACAGCTTTTATCAAGCCTCTGCTCCACAGCTTTCCTGTCTCTCCTCTACCCCCACATTCACGTTCTTCTCTAAGAAGTTAATCTATATTATTCAGCCATAAAAAGGAATGGAGTCCTAATGCAAAGTACAGCGTGGATAAACCTTGAAAACTTTATGCAAGGTAAAAGAAGCCAGTCGCAAAAGACCACATACTATATGATCCCATTTACATGTAATGTCTAGGGCAGGTAAATCCATAGAGACAGAAAGCAGATTAGTGGTTGCCAGGGACGGGGGACTGGGGAGTGGGGAGTGACTGCTAATGGGTACAGGGTTTCTTTTGAGGGTGATGAAAATGTTCTGGAATACGAAAGTGATGATGTTTGTATAATCTTGTGAATATACTAAAACCACCAAATTGCACACTTTAAAATGATGAATATTATGGTATAGGAATTATATCTCAATTAAAAAAATAAGAAGAAGAAAGCCTGGTGCTTGGTTCCCAAATACCCACACACACGTGTGCCCTGCTGTCACTCTCGCTCAAGGTAGTCAGTCCTCGTTTCTTCTAAAGTCACCATGTCTGCTTCATTTCTCCTCTAAGGCTGCCGTTTTCCAATAGAAGCACCCCTTTCCCTGATACTCTCTCCTAGTCATCGTCTCTTTCTGTCAGCTCTTTGTCCAGAGATCACATACCTGTCGTAGGTCTAGGGGTTGTAGTGGTGGCCAGAGTCACAGTGGTCATGGAGGTACTTGGAGGACTAGAAGGCGTCACCAAGACTGTAGGCCCAGTGGGTGTAAGTGTGGTAGGAGCTGTGGGCCTTTCAGTGGGGACCGTGGGTTTTTCAGTGGGGACTGTGGGTTTTTCAGTGGGGACCGTGAGTTTTTCAGTGGGGACCGTGAGTTTTTCAGTGGGGACTGTGAGTTTTTCAGTGGGGACAGTGGGTTTTTCAGTGGGAACAGTGGGTTTTTCAGTGGGGACTGTGGGTTTTTCAGTGGAGATAGTGGGTTTTTCAGTGGAGATAGTGGGTTTTTCAGTGGGGACAGTGGGTTTTTCAGTGGGGACTGTGGGTTTTTCAGTGGAGATAGTGGGTTTTTCAGTGGGGACAGTGGGTTTTTCAGTGGGGACAGTGGGTTTTTCAGCGAGGACTATGGGTTTTCCAGAGGGGGCAGTGGGTTTTTTTATGGAGACAATAGGTTTTTCTGTGGAGAGAGTGGTCTCAGAAGAGCCAGCGGGGGCAACTGGAGATTTGGAAGGAAGCATTGTTGGCACAGGTCCTACAAAGAGAAACAAGTCCCTCGAGTTTAGTTAAAATCATACCACCACCCTCTTCACTCACATCTAATTGGAGTGGGTGGGATCAAATGGGGTAACTTAATCTTACCCCTCATTCTACTCCCAACCCCGCCTTCACTCATTTAATAAACACTCAAAAACCACCACTTGTAATATATGTCAGATATTGTGCCAGATACAGAAAACACAAAATGAATAGGATATTGGTCCTCCCTTCCAGGATCATCATTCCCTAAAGTGTTCTGGATCCCACCACAGAGGTTCATGGCATCAAAGTTACATCACTCAAGTAAGCATCCTGTTGGAGCCAGGAAGGTAGAGGCGGGCAAACTACAGAAAACAAAGCCATCTGAAAACTCAGACACAGAGAGGACTTGCTTTTTAACCAGTGCCTATAAAGAAGCCCAAGAGATGGTCATCCCAGAGTATGGCCCATTTCTGAGGTCTTGGGTTTTGTCTTACTTTGACAGGTCCCATGATTGATCAAGATGAAACCCACAGCAACAATAAAGGCAGTGTTGGTACCCCGGATGGCCTCAAGTATCAGCTAAAGGTAATGAGGGAGAAAGAAGGAAAAGAGAAATGGAAATGAAAGCCTGGCATCTCACTGACTCTGCCAGGCATAGAGTCTGTCTTCTGCAAAAATGTCACCTTGTCCCAGCCTCAACTCTGCCCTTGCCCTTTTTCTGAAGCCAGAGAGCCTTCTTGGGAACACCAACTTTACTTTCTGCTCTGCTTTCCTTCCAGTGTCCCATCTTAGCCCCGGTTATGTCCCCAGGTACTAGGCATTGTGTCCTCCTCGCCATGCCCCACACAGATACTTAGGGGGTCCCTTCTCTCCGTCTCTCACCTGCATGGGCTGTCGATATCCTGAAGGGATGGTGATGGAGGCTTTCAGCCAGTCAGGGCTCTGAGACCCAATGCGCTGCCAGACAGAAGTTAGGGAACTATCCGCAGGATTCCCCAATAGGAGCTTCAGCTTAGTGGCCTCTCCCAGGCCATACATGTAGTAGGTAAATTCCACACAGATTGCACCCGGGACACAGAAGGATGGGCTTACGAGTCTGAAAGACTGGCCTGCGTGGGAGAACTTGTCAGCTTCAAGGTAGATATAGCCACCTTTGGGGAAAAAGAAGGGAATGGGCAGGATGAGAAACCTCCACAGGACAAGTCTAGCACTGCTTTTTTTAACAACGTCTTGCTTTCCAAGTGGAGGTTTGATGCAAATACCCAAACTCCCCACATTGTAGTCTTTTTTTCCTCGTGTGTATGTATGTGTGTGTGCTCATTTGGACTTTTCTAACTGAAGATGGCAGGATCAGAAAGAAAGGGAAAACCAAACCAGCGACATGGGTTCCTTTGTTGGAAGTACCAGTGAATGTCTTAACTGAAAATGAGACAGTAGATTTTGAAGCCTTGGGCCCAATTGAAGTGAGATGCCTGGATTGTTCTGGGGGTTTCAGTGACTGCACAGTCATGAGAATCCTCAGTTCACTCCACTTCTGTCATTGCCATAGATCCAGCCACGTAGCACCTCCCAATAAATACCTGCTGGCTGATCTTCACCACCTACATCTTCTTCCATCAATCATACCAACCAGCCCCCTACCTAGGAGCAGATTCAGGAATTCATTGGCTTGAGGGGCCCTCAATCTCCTTACCTCTCTTAAGAGACCCTCCAAAGGGGCCTGTACCATGGATGGACATATTTTTACTACCCCAGGTCCAATGCCCACCATCGCCTGATATCTGGACCCAGTCACAGAAGGGATGGGCGTCATCTTCAAAGTCACACTGAGGAAAGCGCTCTAGAGTATCAAAATGAGACATTTGAGAAAATTTGGCCATGTCTATATTCCTCCCCAATCCCACCCCTGATTCTGAGGGATCCGGGCCCCCCAGAGCCCTGCTCTCACCCCCACACGGAGCAATGCTGATTGCATCCACTGCCACGGCTGGTTCTGGGAGCTTTCCAAACATGCCCACCACAATGAACTGAGGAGAGATGAAGAGGGGGCTGTGCATGAGAAAACAGCTCAAATGCCCAACATCCCACCTGATTTTATTCTATTCAGGGACCTAGGCTCCTTATTCCCAGTGCCCAGACCCTCATTCCATTTCCATATCAGGAGTGCCTACCATGGGCAAGGAAACTTGACCTCTTGCTCGACTGTACCTGAATCTGCCCCTGGCCGGTGAAATTGACAGAAACAGCCTGCCAGTTGGGTCCAGATTGTCCTGAGAAAAGAGCATGTTTCCAGATGCTGCCTACAATGAAAGGAATCCGAGGAAGCGAGATGAAGGGGACTGGAAAATGACTTCAAGCCTGTACTGAGAAGGATGAATAACAAAGAGAATACTTGGAGTGTATTCCCCTTCCTCAAATGCAAGCACCTCTTTCTCTCTCACCTCCTAGCACTTTATTTTTCCAGAATCCAGTGCCCTGCCAACTCCCCAATTCCACTCTGACATAATCTTGCACATAGCCCAGCTTTCCCTAGACCCATGTCTCCCCATCAACCCAATCCTGGAAGATGAGCCTCAAGTCAGTGCAAATCCTATGGCTTCGCCACTCTCGCCTGAGACAGAAGCATAGATGGTGAGGGCTGCGCCAGGAGACCGGCCATGGAGGGTGTAATGGAAAGACAGGCTCAGACAGCCTGACGACTGGCTCAGGGGGCTCAGAAGAACAGATTGCTGCTTTGGTTTTGCATTCTTGGGGTCCAGGAGCATGTAGAAGCCACCTGTGAAGAAAAAGGTCAGTAAGGTGGGGTGGCTGAAACCGGGGGAGTACGGCACAGGGACAGGGCCCTGTGAGGGCAGGGGGTCTGGCTCTGGGGAGCCTCCAGAGCTGCCTAGGATCAGCTTGTGCTGAGCTGGGCCTACACCCATCTCACGGCTGGCTGAACCCTTCGATCCTTCCAGAAGTGCTTGGCAGGGCTGGGTAAGGACTTGGGCGTCACCATATGAAGAATGGCACCCTTTCAGAAAGAACAGACAGAACTTTGTCCTTTGTGACATTTGTGGAATTTACCTACTACATGTATGGCCTGGGAGAGGCCACTAAGCTGAAGGGGCTGTGACATTTTAGGTTCCCCAGAGTCATGTTCTCTTACATTTCTTGACCCAGTGGACATAGCCGATTCACGCAAACTGCTGAGAGTGGGCCTGTCTGACACAGAGGAGCAGCCCTCTCTTCACCACACTCTTACCACCAGCTCAGTCAGTCAGTCGGCCTCTGCATCGCCCTGTGATGCAACTAGTAGCCGGGGGGAAATGAAGGCGGCTGCCAGACAGCGCGCTGGGGTGCCCGCAGGGGCCCTACTCTAGGGTTCTGCCTGGTGAGCAGGCCCACTGTCCTGCATGGAGGCCTTCGGGAAGGGAGAGAAGAGGGCTAAGGAGGGGAATGGGCAGGAATGGAAGAGAGGAGAAAAGAGAAGAAACAACAGGACCGTGGAGTGAAAGGAAAGGGAATGGTAAATGGTGAACAAGAAAGCAAGGAGTGGCAAAACTGGGACATGTGATAAACAGGAAAGGAGAAAAAGAAAGGAACGGTGAAAAAACATAATGAAGTGAACAAGATGGAAAAAAGAAGAGAGAGAGAAATTTTAAAAAACATTTCCTGAAACCGCTGTGCATGAGACACAGTGCTAAATGCTGGGGGCTGGGGAGTGTGGGGCTGATCCGGGGCGGGGGGGGGGGGGGCGGGCCCTGTCCTGCTCTCCAGGGGCTGAGAATGAAGGCAGGGTGGAGGGTTTCTCAATGTCTTTCTAGAAGGCAAACCTCAGGCAGCAGGAAAGCTCAGAGGACTGAGAGCATGGAGTTGGATGGGGTAGAAAGGGCTATAGAGTAGGGAGAGCTGGAGAAAAAGAAAATGAAAATAAGGTGGAAGGAAGGGAAAGAATTGAGAATGGAGAAAGGCAAAGGGAAAGAGAAGAAAGAAGAGGTAGAAACTCAAAGAGGAAATTAGTGAGTATGATCCTCTACCTGCGAAGCTTGGCATGGCATGCACTCGGGGCTGGCTAGAAGGGTGTGTTGTGTGGAGCAGATTGAGGGAGGAGAGGCAGCTCGTTTGGAGGAGAGAAAAGGAGCTGAAGAGCAGGGAAGGAAAGAAGACAGGAAGGGAGGAAGGAAGGAAAAAAAGAAGAAAAGTTCAGCCAAGGACACAAGGAAGTGGTGGAAAAGAAGCTACAGATAGACGTGGATGGAATAGGAGAGGGAGAAGAGTAACTCCTGGATTATTGCAAAAGCCTCCACAATGGCTTCCCTGCATTCCCTTCAGTGGATTTTCAACACAAAAAGCAGGTGATTCTTTTAAACCTAAGTCAGATCAAGTCACCCCTCTACTCAAGATCTGCAAAGGCATTCATGTAGACTAGAAGCCACAGTCCTGACAATGGCTTTCAAGCCGCCACATGATCTGTTCCTCCTAGGACCCCACCGAGCTCCCCCTCTCCAACCGAGCCACACGGCTGCCCGCTGAACCTCAGCCGCCCCTCCCCTCCCATCCCCACCAGTCCACTGCTACGCAGGGCTTTTTCACAGCTGACCCCTCTGGTCAAAATGTCCTTCTCTTCAAAATTTTTATGGCTTATTCCCTTATCTCCTTTCAGTTCGTGCTCACATATAACCTGAGTGAGACCTATCCGACTGCCCTATTTAAACACACAGCCCACCATACCCCTGCATGCCCAATCCTCTTACTTTGTTGAACTTTTTATTTTTTCTGACAGCACTACTCACCTTATAACTATAAAACTGTACTTCTTTATTGTTTTAGGAACTGTCCCCTTTTGGTACCCCGTTGCTTCTTGTCTGTTTTGTGAGCTGATGTATCTTAAGTGCCTGGGACAGTACCGGGCACATTTTAAGTGTTCAATAAATGTTTGTTGGATGAATGAAGAATGAAAGGTGCCCAGGAAGAGAGGTAAGGCGCAGGCTGTGCCATGTCTGCCAGGCAGAGCTTGTGAGGTGGCAGTACAGGGAGCTGGCCGGGAGTGTGGAGTTTGCTTTCTTCCAGGCAGTTCAAGCTGATAGAGGTTTGAGGTTGCTTGGGTCCCCCCCAGACCTTCCCAAGTTGAGTTACTGTAGAGTTGTCAAGGAAACAGCATAAACTCCTGCGAGGTCCCTAGAAGCCCGGGAAGTCGGAGGATAGGAGCGTGGCCATTACTCACTACCAGGCCTGGAGAAGTCATCCTCAGGGCCCACGTGGGGCACCCCCGACGACCCCTTCTTCTGGACCCACTTGGCTCCAGAGGCCGTGGGCATCCAGCTCCAGCCACAGAGATTATTTTGAGTGTCAAAGCTGCACATCTGCATCATGCAGGCTGGGAGGAATGAAAGAACAGAGGATTTAGCTTTTCCTAAGAGGGCACGGCTCTGAAAAGTATGCCTCAATCTGGAGTCGGAATTCTGAGTCCCCTCCTGGGTCCTGTGAGCCAGGGAGGGCTCGGCTCTCAAGCTAGCTGCAGTTCCGCTCCCCAGCGGCTATGTTCCTGGCCCAGATTACTTCAACGGCCCAACTCTCAATTTCCTTACCTATAAACTGGGAATAACAGTATCCAAACTAGATTATGTGCAGGGAGCATCTAGCACAGTACCTGTGCTCCGTGTTAGTTCCTTGCACCCAGCTTCCGGAATTTTTCTTCCCTTGAGTTTGCTCCCCTCAGATTTCTAACATCAGATTAGAGAGCTAATTCCAGATGAATCTGGTAGCAGCCAGGGTGACCACACATTCAGGTTTACCCTGGACTGAGGGTTCCCTGAGATGAAAGACTGTCAGGACTAAAACAGGGAGAGCCCAGAGCAAACTGGAATGGTTGGTCACTCCAGGACCGGGTATCACCACAACTCTATGTTAAAGGAGAACCTCTTTTTAGGCGTGGCTGCTTCAGGAGTCAAAGGTACAGGGTATGAAGGTAGAGAGGAGCAAGTAGCCTCAACTTTGAAAGAAACCAGGGTCATGGCCCCTGAGCTACTCCTGCCACGCCAGGCGATGATGGGGGTGGGGAGTAAGAGGAGGGACAGGTGCTCACCCCTACTGCAGGAGCCCCGACGGATGTAGACAGCATCCAGAGAGATGTCCAGGTAAGTGGTGCTGCCTGTCACTCCTTCAAATATCAGCTGTGGGAGGCAGGAAGGATCACTCCGCTGTGAGCCTCTAGTTTCTTGCCTGAATTCAGGAGCTTCAGCCACCCCGTAGTCCCTCACTGTCCCAGTCCCTCCTGGCCACCCCCACACACACCCAGATTCCCACTGGGGCCCCAGGCTCTGCCCTCAGCCTCACCTGGCTTGGCAGGGCATGGCCCTTCGGCACAGTGACAGTGGTGGACATCCAGGAGGGACTCCGAGTGTTAATGTGTTTCCAAAGCAGGTTGGGGTACTTGCTCTTGGTGCCCGTGAGCAGCAGCAGTTTGAGCTGGGCGCCCCACGACAGCCCGAACATGTGGTAGGCGAAGTGCACGCACAGGGGGCCTTGTTCCCATATGGGGGAGCTGCGCAGGCGGGCCACCCCGCTTGGGCGGAAGGTGCTCGAGTCCAGGTGCAGGTAGTAGCCCTCTGGGGAGGCAGAGCCCAGGACAGTGGGGCCCTGCCACCCCTGTGAGCTGCCCGCGGCCCTTTCCCAGAGCCCAGGTGCCCACTCCCAACTGCCTCCCTGCTCCCTCCACCCGGATCTGCCTGTGCCCACCTCCCAGCTGCCTTCCTAAACTTCAGGCTTCCTCACCTCCATTGGGGTAGCCACCAGGGGGCCCAATGCTGCCCAAGGGGGAGGGCCCACGGGCTCGAATCCAGTCCCCATCATCGGTGGACACCTGAGTCCAGTCACAGAAGGGTCTGGAGTTGTCCTCAAAATCACACTGGGTTATAATGGCTGGTGGGGAAAAGGCCACTGTGAGTCCAGGAGAAGAGAGAGGACCGAACTGGGGGGATAGGAGTTAGCAAGACTGGTAAGCTTAGAGACGGCGGCCACTGAGATTAGGGTCCAGAGCAGGGATTTGGGAAAGAGAAACAAGTCCTCTCTTGGGAGAAACACAAGGTGGGGTGGGGTAGGATGGACAGAATCTCTAGGTCGAGAGTCACAAACTGGGGCCCAGGGGGCTGGGTTCAGGGGAGCAGGAAGGCTTGTCTGGGCAGCATTCACTCGCTGCTGTGATCTGAGTGTGAATCTTTAGGCGGGGCTTGTACTCCTCCACAGTTCCTCCCACCCTCTGTCCACTAAGGGCTGCCCTTTACACATTCATTCCATGCTTGTGTCACTGCCTGGCCTGGAGGGCACCTGGGTGGCCACCCTGGGAGGGAGGGAGGGAAACTCTGAGCAGTCCTGGTTTCCAACTCACAGTTGTCCTTAGAGCTGCGAGTGACTGGCTTCTGGTCCAGAGGCCTTGAGGTTGATTTGGAGAAAAAACAAAATGTAATACCTGTGATTATCAAGAATTATAAGCCTCAAAGACTGACTGTGAGCTCACCTGAAGTTCTCATCTGTCTCTGGAAAAGTCCTCACATCCCCGCCAGTACCCTCTGCCCCTCTATGCCCCAGACGTCAGGCATGGTTGAGTCTCGGCGGAGCATTTATACCTGGGGAATCTCCTCCTTTCAGGTTGAGATCTTCTTGTCATATAGTCCAAGTTTTCCCCCCAAATTAGGGACTATGTGGGTCTCTTGTTGCTAGGTTTGAGGCAGGGGTAGTATTGTCACAGCTACATGCAACTGAACATAGAGAGAACTAACAAAGAGACCACCCCTCCTCACCTTCCAGATTCCCCAGAGAATCCTTGCCATTCCTCAAGTGGAGTGGGCCACAGAGAACAGCCGCTGGTTTTAGTTGTTCAAGTTCTACTTTTTCAAAGCCCCCCCAAACAATTTCCAGGACACTGAGCCAGTCATCATTTCTT